CGCTGTGTCTGTCAGATAAATAAATAAAAATCTTTTTTTAAAAAAAATAGAAAGTCCTTGATGAACTCATCCTCTGCCTTTCCCTCTAGGATTATATCCTGTTACTCCCCTCTTGAATAGTAAGCTTCAGCAATGTCAAACTGCTTGCAGTTCATCAATATACATGTGTTATTACTCAAAATGAATTATTTGCGCTCTGCAGAGAGAGGGTGATTTAAAGAGTGAGGATGATTTTGTCTGTTGTACTAATTCATAAACACACATATAGCAGTCCATGAGCATCCTGATGAGGGTGGGAGATGGAAGATGAGAACCTGCTGTTCCCTCAGGGGTCTCTTCCTGCTTGCCTCTCCTAGTGTAGTCAACTGATCGTGCTGAGGGGGATTCTAGTGTTAAACATGCATCTCTCTATATAACATGAGCTTTAAACACAAGCCCACCATTTTATCTGGTTCCTAACTGAAAAATCTATGACCCATTTCAATACCAGAGGAAAAACTGTGAGCAGCTTCTTGAGAGGTAGGACAACATTATACTTTATGGGTCTTCTCAAGGATTTCAAAGGATAATTTTGATTAAATATGATTTCACCTTATGTGCCCACTGTAGGGCTCATTGCCTTGTGGGATGAGTCTTTGCTGTCTCTGTGTACTTACATATCTTCCTTCTCTTGTTGGATCAGCATAACCTGAGGTCAGATCTATGTCTCATTCATTTCATTTGGGGCTTTGTGGAGAATGCTCTGGATTGGCTCACTCAATGTAGCAGTGTATCATCTATCATGATATCTCATTTAATAAGGATTTAATAAATACTTATTGAATGAATGAGTAAAATAACAAAGGAACAGTGGAATTGGGTGATCTTATTAGAAAGCAGAAGATATAGACTCAGGGCACCTGGATGGCTCAGTCGATTAAGTGTCTGCCTTCGGCTCAGGCCATGGTCCTGGGGTCCTGGGACCTAGCCCGGCATCGGGTTCCCTGCTCAGGGGGGAACCAGCTTCTCCCTCTCCCTGTGTCTGCCACTCCTCCTGCTTGTGCTCTCTCTCTATCTCTCTCTCTCAAATAAATAAAATAAAATCTTCAAGAAAAAAGAAGATATAGGCTCTTTTTTTCCTGAGAGACAATCATGGACCAATGGAGTATCAAACATGGAAGGCACCTTGGGATTGTTTAATTAACCCTTTTATGATAAAAAAAAAATCCCAGAAAAGCAAAGTAATTTTACTCAACATTGCTTCCATTTAATAATTCTGTTTATCCTTTCCTGGATAGATCCTAGTTTAGCCAAATCCCTTTTAAAGTACAATAACTAAACTAGGTAAAATAGTATTAGTACCATGGTCTCTGTGGACAGATTTCCCCTTTAGCACTTGCATGTTACACTAATTCAAATTATTTCGGGATTTTGTTGACTCTCTTCATCATAGAGAAAAATGAATGACCATGTATTGTTCCTGCAAGGGCAGAAACAATGTTTTATTCAGCTTGTATCCTCTTTGCTTGGGACATTAATTGACACTTGGGCCTTCAAAAGTTTTGTTTTTGCTGAAATAAGTGAATGGGACGAAGCTTTGAATCTGTTATTTGCCCCTTTTATAAACTTAGAATCATGGCATTGTTAAGGACCTGCAGAGATCCATTGGAAATCATGGCTTTTAAAGCAGGAAAACACTTATTTCTCTGTGGCAAAGACCCTATCACATTTCAATTCCACTGAGATAAAGTCTTAAGTTTAAAAATTGTAAATATATTACATATAGCTACATTTCTTTTTAAAAAAATACTTGGGGTCATTTCATGTCATTTAATCATGAACACAATTAATTATAGCTTTCCTTCCGTTGTCTTTTTTATTTTCGATAAAGTACTTCTTTTTGTCCAGTTTCTCTCCTCACTTTCACTTGTTTATGTCCTTGAGCTTTCCTTCCTCTGAATGGACAGACCTTGCCTCTTTCCCCACTTGACTTGCTTCAGAATTTCAGTATTTTGTGCACATGATTAGCAGAACCTAAATCACATGTGAAACTGGACTTGCAAGGGACCTGGGTGATAGAGATTTTAGTTGTCCAGATTCTGCATTTCGGGAGGTTGGAACAGATCCTGAGTGAGCTAATCCACAGCATCTACCGACGCCTACTGAAATTATGTGTCAGCCCTGGGTTTAAGGCGGGTGGTTGTCATGAGCCCAGAGTTCTATAGTGAGCTCACTAGGGGACTTGTAAATCCACGAAGAGATCGCTTAACCTTTTTCAGCTGCAGTTTGGTGTGTGAGTTGGTTTGTGAGTTGAAAATGAAAATTTGCTGACCACCTGCCTTAAAGCCTGCCCTAGCCTGTGTGTGTGTCCCTGGATGGGACAGTAACCCATCCAGGAGAGTGAATAATTACCACACCGAACCTGGCTCCAACCGCAACAGCTTGTGGGATGGGAGCTCAGTACCTCACCAACTCCAGAGCCCGCAAACAACACTCCAGACTGCTACCTGGAGAGTCTTCCTAAAAACCCAAATCAGATTGTTACTTACTCTCCAATTTGGAATATTCCCATCCCACACTGTTTCCCACAGGATCAAGATAAGCCTATGCTTCTTAAAATGGCATGCACAGCCTTCCATGATCTTGTCCTATCTACCTCATCTACCTCAAGTCTTTCCTCTGTTCCTTAAACTGTTTCAACTGTGAACTCGTCTAGTTAGATTCTAACTGCATGGAACTGCTTAAAATGACCCACATACACCATGCTGTTTCAAGCCTCTGTGTCTTTACTAGTAAAACACCTTGATTTGAACCCCAGTTCCACTAACTGTATAGGGTTATTGCATAGCACAGTGCCTGGCCTAGAGAAGGTGGTGAATGCATGCTAGTTTTATCAGATGTAAGGCAATATGATGGTAAAGAAGGGGAAACGCACTCTTTGGGACCAGATAGACCTATTTCAGTAGCCCTGATCTAGCACTTCATAGCTCTGAATCCATGGCCCATCATGTAACCATCCTGGGTATCTACTTTCTATAAAGACTGATCTCAGGAATGTGGAAGGATTCAAGATAGAGCATTTGAAGTGTCTGTCACATGCCTGGCACATTAGGTAGATGTTCCAAAAAACAGTAGTTCTTGTCACTTCTATTATTTCTACCAACTGTACAGTAACTATTTATTAGTGAGTAACATTGGCTACTGAGGGGCTTAGAGTGTCATAGTCCCTCTATTTTTTTTTTTTTTTTTTTTTGCTGGAGCATTTTTTTTTAAACGAGTAGCAGGAAATATTTTATTTGTTCATAGAACTATCTATTGGCATTCTTTGCTTTGGATTATCACAGCTTTGTGTTCCCCTGTCTACCAGGTGTGAGGGTAAGAGGCAGAAAAAAGAAAGGAAAACAAATAAAGACCAAACCTGCCCTCTTGTTCCATGGATGCTCAGAACTAGAAGAAATCTTTTCCAGATGGTCTTTTGCCGTCGACTGTACCATTTCCCTCTCCCCAGTTAATATTTTATGTCTATTATTTACCACATTTAATTCAGTTCCTTTCTCTTACCAGTTGAATCTTGTCTCTGATATCAGCAGACTCATTTATCTGTTTAGTCTAGTGATAGTATAATTCAGAGATAATATTTGACATTCAGGTAAGCGATACCTGTGTGAATCTCATGTTTGAAAGACAGATGCAATTAAATATGTTTATTGAAGAAACCTTATACATAATTTACCGGTAACTGTTGATACTTGTCCATTGAGCTATACTTGTCATTTTTGAGGGGGAAATCTTAGCCCTGAGGACTTTGGGCCTGTAGACTGCCGTTCATATTGAACCCTATTGTCCATGCACTTTAAACTCCTTAGAAGGGGAGACACTCAGACTTTAGAGATGTGATGTTATCTGACATTAGAAGAATATGTATGTATATATACACGCATATATGGGTATTTATATATATGCACATATATATATATTTCTAACACCCATTTTATGACATCCTGCCATTTATTAAATTTTAACTATAGTATATCTAGCAATCTCTTAGTAAAATTTGAAAGAATTGATGCTCTCCCTAGGACAGTTATTGATCCAAGGGGAAGGGCTTGATGTCTTCTACCACCTGGCTAAAAATACATAAATGAATCTACATGAGTACGTAGTTCAAGAAAGGTATTCTAAAATAAGTTCATACTCTGAAAAAGGAACCTGATTCTAGATTTGGAGGGCAAAATGGGAAAAGACACAGACAGCCAATCCAATATTTACTTGTTAAGGAGATGGAGGCCCCACACATGTTTAACGATTTACTCAAAGTCACAGAGCTACTTATTGGCAAGCTGGCATTCAAACTCAAGACTCCTGACTGTTGTATATTAACTGACTGACTTTAAATAAAAGTTGGCAGCATTTAGTAATTACTGAGAAAAGCTCAGAAATGTTATTGTCTTTCACTCTCTCTCTCTCTCTTTTTTTTCACAGTGAGAGGAGTGGTGTTGAAATAGTCTTAAATGAAGAACACATTGTACTTAATTTTATCCTTTTGGGCAAGGGGGACTTTAGCTTTCATGGCTCCTGGGGATGAAAGAGATAACGGGAGTGTTATTTCTTCTTCCTTTACTCATTCTTCCCTAGTAATCCACCCCCTCCTTAGAGAATAACATTGCTTCATAGAGACCAGGTGTGTATTTCTTTCCAGTTCCAAAGAAGCACAGGGATAAGATGTTTATGGAAAGGGAATTCCTGCTGTAATACATCCTTATTTCTTGGCATAAGTACATTGGAAAGGAAGGATTCAATGGGTTCCCTTATCTGTAGTCAAGAGAGTTCCAAGCTCCTACAGAGAAGAGCTCATGGTTAAATACACAAAACTTTGTGTGTGTGTGTGTGTGTGTGTGTGTGTGTGTGTATGCTTATACTAAATGCATATTATGCATTTATTAAGTGTCAAGTGTCCTTGGAGACAGTGAGTTTCTGGTTTATAAAAATTTAAGATATATTTCTACAAATTTATTTTGCAGACCTTTTCAGAGGCAATTAGATTTAACGTGGATTTTGGAGTTTTTGAAATAGTTAACAATGCTCCACAACTTCTGGAAAAGCAACTGAAAAAAATTCTACAAAACCAGCAACCTCGAAATCCCATCTATGATGTTGTAAGGAAAGGAAAGAATGATGTTAAACCTGTTCAGATGAATGCCCCCTATGAAGATGAAACCATTAATATAAACTACAATATCATGGTAAGAAGGTATATTTGAGTTTATATCTTGCTAGGTAGATAAAGCATTAGGTAAGACTAACATGAGGTTCCTTGGGCTTAACTTTCTGAAATGTAACTATATTTATTAAGTTTTATTGTACTTAAACGTAGTATTTGTTAGTTACTCTATCATCTTATTCATGTCAAATGGCCAATTTAATCTAGCAATATTGTTGATGTTAGATTTACAATATGAGAAGGTTCATGTAATTTCCTTTGAACATTTAGGATATCAGGTTAATTTGGGGCAGCAGAAATATGTGTATCCTTTATAGTTTAGATGCATTCTAGAAAATGTGGGTATTCAGTGAATTTATCTGATTTGGGTTCTATCCTAACAAGCAGTTGGGAATTATGAGTTCTGACCCTCCAGTTACACTATGTGACTCTGACCTCCCTGGCCTTAAATTCCACTCTCAGCTTCTGGATTTTGTCTCCTTAGCATGAAGAGCTAAGGAGCTTTGTCTTTGAACAAAAACAAAAACAAACAAACAAACAAAAAACACAAACAACCCTGGGTTCTAACCTTGACTCTTTAACTTACCAGCTCTGTGTTCTTGAACAAGTCATTTTGATGAACCTTATTTTCATCACCTGTCAAATGATTCCTTCGCTACCTACTACTTAGGTTTGTTGTGTGGCTCAACTGAAAATAAAATGAATGTTTAACATTTTCCATGATTTGAAGTGTCTGATGGAACTAGGCTGAAATATGTTCAACACTTACGATATAGCTCTTTTCCAGCCTGAAAGTTCTTCAGTGTTTCTTTTACTGAATTCCAATATATTTCTGTCTTTCTTGTTTACTTTCATCAAATTAAATATATTAATAATAATAGTCTTTAAAATACTTTTACAAATACTAAAAATAAAAAACTATGTTATAGCAATGTTTTGAAATTTAGACAAGGAAATATATTCTGAACTATAAAGCACCATATAAATTGTTACAATATTCATTCATGATAGGAAGTCTCAACAAAGTAGGTTTAGAGGGAACATACCTCAACATAATAAAAGCCATATGTGAAAAACCTACAGCTAACATTATGCTCAATGGGGAAAAATTGAGAGCTTTTCCTCTAAGATCAGGAATAAGACAAGGGTGTCCACTCTCACCACTTCTATTCAACATAGCACTGGAAGTCCTAGCCACAGCAATCAGACAAGAAAAAGAAATAAAAGGCATCCAGATTGGTAAGAAAGAAGTAAAACTTTCACTAACTGCAGATGACATGATACTATATGTAGAAAACCTTAAAGACTCCACCAAAAAACTACTAGAACTGATAAATAAATTCAGTAAAGTTGTAGGATACAAAATTAGTATACATAAATCTATTGCGTTTCATGCAAACTTATGTCTAATAAAAACTCATTAAAAAATAAATTGCTTAGGGGCGCCTGGGTGGCTCAGTCGTTAAGCATCTGCCTTCGGCTCAGGTCATGATCTCGGGGTCCTGGGATTGAGCCCCGCATCGGGCTCCCCGCTCGGCAGGGAGCCTGCTTCTCTCTCTCCCACTCCCCCTACTTGTGTTCCCTCTCTTGCTGTGTCTCTCTCAGTCAAATAAATAAAATCTTAAAAATAAAAATAAAAATAAAAATAAAAAAATAAATTGCTTAAACATGTTAAAGGCTACCCAAAATCGATAGTACACACTGTATATGGTGAAATACTGTAACCATTTCCAGTAGATCATAAGAAGAGAAAAAGTATATCTTTATTGCTAATTCAAAATTATTTTAGACTTCCTAGACAAAGCTTAAACACAATAAATATAAATAATTACTATCAGTTTGCAAGAGTAAGCTAAATTGTCTTTATTTGTATATTAATAAATAAATGGTTTTTTAAACTGAAATATTACAATAAAATCCAGGAAAATTTGTATGTAAACTTAGCATGTGACCCATCCTCTCATGAAGTCAAGAACTCCAGAATCCTCAAAATAATAATAATTAAAAAAAACCCTAGACACCAAAATTAAAATATTTCATGTTAGAAAATGACATAAAGTTAAAAAACAATGATTTAGAAAAAAAATTTTGCAAGTGTGAGGAAATGCATTTTACTTAATTTCTTACCAATCTTATTTAAGAAAAAGACAAGTAGTCCAGTAAAATAATTGAAGTAATTCAACCAACTATTTACAAGAGAAGAATTAAAATGGAAAATGAGCAAGTAAAAAGATGTTTAATCACAAAAATGATCAGAAATATGCAAATTATAAGTACAGCCAGATACCATTTTTTAAGACATTAAATTGGCCTACAATTTTTTTATTTAAAGTCAGTTAGCCAACAAATAGTACATTAGTTTCAGAAGTAGAATTTGATAATTCATTGGTTGCGTATAACACCCAGTCCTCATCACATCACATGAAATGGGCCTACAATTTAAAAAAATAATAACATCTAGTGTTGGTAGAATATTAATTGCTACAATCTTTGGGAATTAATCTGGCAAAATTGATTAAAATTAAAAGTACTATGATTTATGCCTGGAAAGCCACTTTGGGATTTTTATCCCATACAAGTAAATGTGTATGTATAGGAGCTGATTGCAGCATTGACTTCAGTAGTATAAACGTATTATATCTTTAACAACTGAAGAACTATGGAATATTATATGACTATTTAGAAAGAATGTGTTTGAGCTATGTCTATTGTCCTGATGAGATAGATGCACATGTATTGTTCAATGGAAAAATCAAGTTGTAAATTAAAGCATATAATATGATTCAGTTTTTATATAAAATAAATCCTACAAAGGAGTTCCAAAAAATCTGTTGCATCTCTATACACTAAAAATGAAGTAGCAGAAAGAGAAATTAAGAAAACAATCCCATTTACAATTGCAACAAAATAATAAAATACCTAGGAATAAACCTAAGCAAGGAGGTGAAAGATCTGTACTCTGAAAAGTATAAAACATTGATGAAAGAAACTGAAGAAGATACAAATGGGAAGATATTTCATGCTCATGAATTGGAAGAAACACTTTTGTTAAAATGTCTATGTTACCCAAAGCAGTCTACATATTTAATGCCATCCCTCTCAGAATACGAGCTACATTTTTCATAGAACTAGAACAAATAATACAAAAATTTGTGTGGAGCCATCAAAGACCCTGAGTAGGCAAAGCAATCTCAAGAGAAAACAAAGCTGGAGGGATCACAACCCCAGATTTCAAGATATACTACAAACCTATAGTGATCAAAACACTATGGTAGTGGCACAAAAATAGACACATAGATCAATGGACTAGAAGAGTATGGTCAGTTAATCTATGACAAAGGAGGCGTGAATATACAATGGAGAAATGACAGTCTCTTTGACAAATGGTGCTGGGAAAGCTGGACGACATCATGCAAAACAATGAAGTTGGACCACTTTCTTACACCAAACACAGAGATAAACTCAAAATGGATTAAAGACCTGTGAAACCTAAAACCAAAAAACTCCTAAAAGAAACCATAGGCAGTAATTTCTTTGATATTAGCCATGGAAACATTTTTTTAGGGATGTCTCCTCAGGAAAGGGAATCAAAAGCAAAATTAAAATATTGGGATTACACCAAAATAAAAAGCTTTTGCACAACAAGGGAAACCATCATTAAAACAAAAAGACACCTACTGAATGGGAGAAGATACTTGCAAATGGTATAGCCAGTAAGGGGTTAATATGCAGGATATATACAAAGAACTTACACAAGTCAACACCAGATAAACAATCTGATTAAAAAATGGGCAGAGGACTGTAGAAAACAGTATGGAGTTTCCTCATATAGTTAAAAACAGAACTACCCTATGATCCAGGAATTACACTACTAAGTATTTACCCAAAGGATACAAAAATAATAATTTGAAGGGATACATGCACCCCAATGTTGCGGTTGCATTATCATTATAATTGTTGCATTATCAACAATAGCCAAATTATGGAAAGAGCCCAAATGTCCATCGACTGATGAATGGATAAAGACGTGGTGTGTGTGTGTGTGTGTATATACACATAAATATATATATGTGTGTGTGTGTGTGTGTATATATATATTAGAATATTATTTAGCCATCAAAAGCAAAGAAATCTTGCCATTTGCAACAATGTGGATGGAACTAGAGAGTATTATGCTAAGCAAAATAAGTCAGAGAAAGACATACCATATGATTTCACTCGTATGTGGAGTTTAAGAAAAAAAACAAATGAACATAAGGGGGAAAAGAGAGGCAAACCAAGAAACAGACCCTTAACTAAAGAGAACAAACTGATGGTTACCAGAGGGGAGTGGGTGGAAGGATTGGTGACGTAGGTATTGGGGATTAAGGAGGGCACTTGTGATGAACACTGGGTGTTGTATGGAAGTGTTGAATCACTAAATTCTACACCTGAAACTAATATTACACTGTATGTTAACTAACTGGAATTTAAATAAAAACTTGAAAAAAATAAAAAATGGGCAGAGGACTTGAACATACATTTTTCCAAAGAAGACAGACAGATGGCCAACAGACACGTGAAAATATGCTCAACATCACTAATCATCAGCAAAATTCAAATCAAAACTACAATGAGATATCACCTCACACCTGTCAGAATGGCTAGAATAAAAAAGACAAGAAATAATAAGTGTTGACAAGGATGTGCAGAAAATGGAACCCTCATGCACTGTTGGTGGGAATGCAAATTGGTGCAGCCACTGTGGAAAATGTTATGGAGTTTCCTCAAAAAATTAAAAATAGAATTACCATATGACCCAGTAATGCCATACTGGGTATTTACCCAAAGAAAATGAAAACACTAATTCAAAAAGATATATGAACCCTTATGTTTATTGCAATAGCATTATTTACAATAGCCAAGATACGGAAGCAACCCAACTGTCCATTGATAGATGAATGGATAAAGAAGATGTGATATATGTGGCTGAATTATTCTTATAAAAAAGAATGAGATCTTTGAGATCTTACCATTTGCAATGTGAATGG